AAATACTTACAGTGAAGAAGATAGTWCAAGAAGAAGAAGTCACATAGAAAAGCTAGCAATCATCATCTACTTCCATAACATTTGAATCAGCCACTGCAAGAACATCTCTTCTCTTCAGTTCATCCGAGATCAACGAATAAAAGACTCTTCCGGCTTCACCAATTTTGATTATACTTAGTATCACGCGCAATAGCTGAGAATCAGCTATAGGTATCTCAGAAGCTCGGAAAAATCGAAGGCAACTACTCGCGTTCCAGAAGAATATTCCATGCTCAGGAGCGGACAAGATAGTTCCTTCCGGATGACAATCATTTGAAGGAAGGGTAAGATCAAGATGTGAGACATCAGGGGCCTTACCTTCCTTTGATAATTTCTGAATAAGAGAATCTTGATTCTTGATGGACTTCGAGGCAGAAGCAGATTTAGAAGAGTTGGCTTTGCTTAACATTTGCTTTAGAAAGGAGATTTGTGGAGGGGAAGGCAACTTGTAATGCATCTTGATCATTTGTATCTTTTTCAGAAAGCGATACAAATGACTCAAGACAAATTCCTTGTACATACTTCTGCTTTTATTAAGAAACTTGATGATCTCCATCAACTCAGTAAGACCGTAGGCATTGATCCAAGATAGCTTTTATGTCCTCACTACTATGTTTTCTCGACCAATAATCAAATAGATCAGATTGGAATCATAGGTCAATTTTTGAGGACCTTTGATTCTGGCACTGACAATTCGAGTAGTAATGTAGCATCAAAGAATTGAGTCGTTAAACCATTTAATTCTTTTCTCTTTGGTTTCTTCAGACTCAGATAGTGGGACCAAGGAGTGAGATCTGTTGGCTTCCTCAAATTGCTTTTGAAGAGCAATTGATTTGGCCGCATCCTCAGCAAAAATACCTAGGAGATGAATATCAGTTTCTTGAGGACATGAAGCTTTAAGCACAAGTCTATCGGCTGAGGAGACTTCAGATTGATATCTAGCAATTTTAGCTGCTTTAGCTGCAACAGCTTCTTCATCTGAGGTCATAGGTGCCTTTCTTTCTCTGTGAGTTGGGACTAAGTCCCCAGAAGCAGTGGGAATATCAACTTGAGAAGGTATAGTACCAACATCAACAGATAATGAAGGCATAGAGCACGATTGCTTCCCCTTAACAGGTACTACAGCTCTATCATCATGATCAAATAGCTCCCCCTCAATAGGAGCATCACAGTCTAACTCAGCTGAGGAAGAAGAGGTAGAAGCTGAGTCGTCGTCCCCACTTTCACTGATAGTAGGGTCAACTGTTTTCTCCCCCTCAGTGGGAACAGGGGAAGGCACATGAGCATTAACAGGGGGACCCTCCACATTGTCAGTGGAGGAAGGCTCATAAGTAGCAGCACGGGAAGAGGGAGTAAAGGGAGCACCTGTGGCACGTAGCAGACGTGATATACCGCGATGAAGAGCGCCAAGAAGACCAAAATTGGACTCAACATGACGACTGGCTAACATAACTCTGTCCGCTTCCGTGAACTGACTAGGACCCAAGTCAACAGATATCTCTGTATTTCTGTCTAAGAACAACTTGGATATATGTGTTTGTGCATCCACCTTGGAGTGTAGATCTGCCAAAGACTGAAGAATTTCCTGAGTTGTGGCAGCCTGACTTTTCGATCGAGCACGAAGATCCGCTACAGCTTTAGAGGTACTAGACTGAGAATATGAGAGAGCAGTCATGCGAGCATCAAGAGAAGCAACCGTATCTCTAATAGTTGTAAAAGCAATGCCATGATCTTGCAAGGTGGCACTGTGCTGGCGCATCTCAGAAGTGAGGCTGGAGGCAAAGCAGTCCAATCTCCCAGATGAATCAGTGTTGAGGGAGGTCTGTTGAGAGATGAGCAGCTGACACTAAGATGAGAAACCCCGAAACATGTCTACCACTTCAGTAGGTAGAGCATAGATCACATCAGGATGGGAGGGAGAGGAGAACTGAAAACTCGATGCAGAAGGGGGCCTTGAGGGACAAAAAACAACTGGAGTAGGTGAGAAAGTTTTGATTGGGCTTGCTGACCCACTCGGAGAAGAACCACCAACACTCTCAGTACCACCGGTGCCCTCAGAGTCACCGATGGGAGTATCACTGATGTTGGCATGAGGCTCAATCTGTATCAACGATATCGACGGGAGGCTCAGTATCTATATCAGCAACATTGGCGAGAGGCTCAGTATCTGTATCACCAACAGCGGCGAGAGGCTCGGTGTCTGTATCATCGACGCCTGCATGAGGCGGGTCGCCAATTACCACTGTAGTAGAAGTAGTAGGCTGGTAAGGCTCACCACCTACATTCATAAGAAGATAATGGAGAAAAGGGATGTCAATATCAGACGGTGCTGATAAATCATCCATCTGTGCAATATCATCATGATCATCGATCTCGGGTGATAGGCCGTGAATATGTGGAGGAGAGGAGAGACCTCACAAAGGGGAGGTATCCGAGTCATCACCAAGGTCATGTAGAGATGCCAAGGCGGAGTCATGTGGGATCCTCGTATGTACAACAGTGTCCTTTTGAGAGGGCAATGAGGAGCTAGGGGGTGTATACCAGATGTCCTGGGCTCAGTAGGACCAACTTCAACAACCTTGGACTGTTGAGAGTCCTTGGTTGGAGATGTGTCTTTAGCCCTTTTTGGCTTCTTGGTCTTCTTAGATGAAGAGTTAAGAGTGGAAAATCTAGAGTGACTTCGCTTTGAATGAGAGGGAAGAGAGGCGGGGTAAGACTCCGAAGGCGCTTTCAAAGTCATATCCTTAGAAACAAATGCGGAGGATAAGGGAACAAAACTATCTGCCAGCCGTCTCCGGACAGAGGAGGCGGCCTCTTTTGAGGCAGTAGCTGAAGAAGTATAAGGGAGAGGGGCCATTGACATGGAGGAGTGTTGGGTGACCGGAGCAACATGAGGAAGGTCCCCAGCTACTATGGTCACAGAGCACTCTCCCTATATAGGGTGAGAAGAGGTGGCAAAAGAAACCATACCTAATGGAAGAGGAAGATCCGTAAACAATGATGCCTTATTCAAAGTCTGAATGCCAACTTGAGACACTTTGAGGTCATAGATATTTTCAGTATCGACCGGCATACGTGACTCAAGTTTGTCAACAATCAACATGGATGAAAATCTAATGAAAGGTACATTAGAGCATTTGGCACTACCCATCTTCTTTACCAACTCCCCAAAAAAATATCCAGCAAAGTCAATTTTTCTCTGGAAAATAAGTGCATGAGCTAGCTGGGTTACTGAAGTGGGTGACTGATCCATTCCTCTAGTTTTGGAACTCAAACATTGAAAGAAAAAGTTCCAAATACCACCCATATTCTTCCTATAAAGAGTGCTTTGTTTTATCAAAGCAGGGTCTTGCACATAGCCCGTAGTGGAAGCAACAATATGAAGATGATCAACAGATACTAGTTCATCATAAGAGGAGTAAGGAGGAAGATCCAATACTCTTCTTAAATCATCAGTAGTAAAGGATACATCATTAGCAGATAATACAGTTGCATGCACAGCTTCTGTAGAATCATCATATACACATGTAGCCCAAAAAGCACGTAGTAGAGATTTACTCATCTTTCGAGAATAAGTAAAAGCTTTGAAAAGAGGGCACTTACGTAAAAATTCAATGATGATGTAAAAATCCGGATATTTCTCATTGTGATCCAACAATGCCACAAAATTGCATGGAGAAAATGTAACATCATCAGCAGTGAGGGAAACAAATTTATTAACCTTTGGAGCTTTGGAAGGAGTTCCAACTTTAGAAGCCATGGTTGATGAACTTGAAAACACACAGTAAACTTTGAGAATATGAGAGGGTGAAGATGTTTTAGTAAGCTTTGGAGAAGAGGAGAGGTTGAGGTGTTTAAAAAAGGAGAACGAAGGAGAGAAATATACTATGGGTAATAAGGTGTAATCTAGCGAAAGCAAAAAGGTAAGACTTGACAAGGCAAAGAAAATAGGTGAGATAGGGGTGTAGGTTTGGTTATTGGATTAGTATTAGGTGGATGGGGTATGTAGGGAGGTAGGAGAGAGGGGTATTCGGTGAGGGAAATGGGTTTGAGAAAAAAAATATGGTTAGGGAAAAGGGAAAGAAGCCGAAAGAGATTGAGGAGGGAGGAGCTGATTGGGGTTTGACTTAGTAAAGAAAATCGGCTTGGAGGGGAAAGAAGGCCGAATGGGAAATTGGAGCCGATTGGGAAATTGGATAGGGATCGGTGAGATAGAGAGAAGAATGAGGGAGTGTTTAGAGGGGGTTCCGCGTGTGTAGTGAGGGTGTGGATAGGGGTCGGCTTGAATAAGGCCGGTTCGGCTTAAGGTAAAAGTAGGTTTAGGGTTAAGGTGAAAGGGGTGATCGGCTTAAGGAGAAGGGTCGGTGTGTGGGTGTTTAAGATCGGTTTGTCAAGTGAAAGAGGTGGGGGGAAGCCGAAGTTAGAATCAGCTTATGAGGATGGGAGAGGAGGGAGTATTGGGTTTAAACCGATTGGAGATGAAGAGATATGCATGGGAGAGGATGATCGGCTAGTGAAGGAAGGAAACCGAATGGGATTGGTTTGGCTTGAGGTGTGATCGGTTTGGAAGGGAAGCCTAAAGGAGAGAAGGGTTCGACCTATGCTTTGGTTTGAGAGGAAACCGAAAGGAGAGAGGGGAGGCCGAATGGGGAAGCCGATTAGGTTGGTTTGAGGTGAGAGAGATAGGGTTTAGGTTCGGCCCAAAGATGCGAGGCCCGCATACCACAAAGACCAAGGAAAATATGCGTAAAAATAAACCATTACACACAGCCATAAAATAAAAACTTTTTATCTTTTTCCCCTTTTTTTAAACATGAAATAAATTTTAAAAAAATACAATATTTTTTAAGCGATAAAAAGAAATTCACATAGAGATTTTTTTAGAGAGAAAAATAGAAACTGGTTTTCAAAGAAAAAAATATATGAGTGTAAAACCCATCATTTTTAAAAAAAACAATATTTTAGAAAGATAAGATATACTCACACAGCTTCACTTTGACATATGACATCTTTGGAAGTCCAATAACCAGATCTTTACTAGAAAGATAGTTAATGGTTTTGAAGTTGAGATGGGACAACCTTTTATGCCATAACCAATTTTGATCAGTAGTAGACTCGGAGTAGAAACAGATGTTGGCGTCAGAAGGGCTAGAAGAGTCCATGTTGATTACATAGACATTATCCTTTCGGATACCAGTTAGTACCTTCTTGCCAGAAGAGTCAAGAATAGTACACTGGTTTTCTTCAAACTTCACAATGAAGTTGAGATCACATAGTTGACTGATGCTTAGCAGATTGTGCTTCAGTCCATCCACATAAGCTACTCGGTTGAAGGTAACCGAGCCGTTAGAAAGAACACCATATCCTTTTGTAGTACCTCTGGAATTATCTCCAAAGGTTACAGCAGGACCAGGTTCAGACACATAGTTGATCAACAGGGACTTGTTTCCAATCATGTGTCTTGAACATCCACTGTCCAAGTACCATATCTGTCGGTGTCCTAAGCCCTGCAAACACAGATAAATCAGTTTTTAGGTACCCATTTTACAATGGGTCCATTGGGGTTAGGAGTATCTTCTTCTTTCTCTTCTCTTACTGGCCTAGAGATTCTTTCTTTGAGACAGTTCTTGGCCATATGAAAAGTGTCACCACAGTTATAACGTTTTCGATAAATAAACACAGGTTTAATAGAAATTAAAGGTGTGTGCATAACTGTGTTAACATAATTTTTGGATTTTTTTAAGGGAAGAAGAAGCTTTGGAAGGAGGGGCAGAGGATGAAGAGGGTTTTGGACCAAGAATCCCTTTTTCAGACTCAGGGATAGGTTTCTTAGAAGAGGTAGAAACCTTGGAAGTCTTTTTCAAGGAAACAGATCGAGGAACGAACTCAGTAATAGAAGGTACTGAGGTACCAGTCTGAGAAGTAACAGCTGACTGAGATGAGGTAGTCGAAGGCTTATGTTTCATCTTCAGTTTGGATTTTGGCTTCTTATTCTTGATAGGCTTGTCTACAGACTTTCCTTTCTTAGCAGCAGAGAAACGACGATTCAAAAGATGCTTTAGATGCTCAGATGTTTTAGATTTAGATGAGCATACTTCAGGAGATTCCTTAAGAGAGAGAGAGAGAGAGAGTTAAACATACAGTCGACAGGAACATTCTCAGATTCAGTGTTTGGATTGTTACCTTTGACAAAAATTCCAAACTTAAGAAATTTTCCATTTTCATTAGATCTAGGAGAAAGAGATCCAACAGAATCAGATAAGTGAGATGGAGAGGARGAAGAAAGAATATGAGAAGAAATGCACATAGAGTCATCAGGAGCACACAGATCCAAATCATCATATCCTAGGCCAGTCTTTACTTCACTAGGAAGTTGATCATGTAAAAATTTTATCTAGGTTCTTGGATGATCTAGCCCATATTTGAAGAATGGATTTTTCTTTCTCCATCTTCTCAAAGACCTTAGTTTTTTCTTTGTTAAGAACATTGTTTATTAACTTTTGTTCTTTCAGGTCATTTTTCAATTTATCAAAGTCTTTCAGTTGATTCATGCATTTATGTAACTGACTAGTTAGACTTTTGATTTCAAGGTCAGCTTTCTTCTTAGCAGATCTAGCATTGTAAAGATCAACGGATAAAGAATCATAAGCTTGAACCTTGTCAGATTCAAAAAGAGAGGATAAGTTGTTTACCTTATTTGGTTTGACCAGATCTTTGGCATCCTTGGAGGTAGAAGGTAGATCAGCAGCAGCAGTAGAGGAGGATCCCTTGATAAAGTCTTCTCTCTCCTGGATGTTGGCCATAAGACACATATATGCCATGTCCTCATCACTGGAGGAAGAGGTTGGCTCATCAATCCAGTCATGAGTCTCAGCCATGAGACCCTTACCTTTTCTTTGAAGGCTCTGGTTCTTTGTCTTTTCTCTCTTGTACTTTGCTTTGTATTTATCGTGAGAAGATCGGCTAGAGGGATGAGAAGGATGACGCTTAGAGATCCTTTTGCTTTTGCACTCAGCAACAAAGTGACATTTCTTACCACAGTTGAAGCACTCCTCATTGGACAGTTCAAGAGGAGCTGACTTAGATTGATCTAAGGTTCTTCGGTCGGTGACCTTAGATTTGGGAGAGAAGTTAGAAGAGCCCTTTTTGGCATACCTTTTGAAGTTGGTAGCCATCATGGCCATGTTGTCAGCCAAGTCATTAACTGAGGGTTCATCACCCTCATCATCAGCATCATCAGCATGACTTTAGCAAGTTCTTCTTTTCTGACAGCATCTTCTTCAGACTCAGTTAGATAAGTAATACGAGGTTCACTTATTGGCTTCCTCGTATCACTGCAGAGAAGGGCAACAAGAGAAGAAGTTCTGGGATCCTTTAATAATGCCTTTTTGAGAAGCTTGGTTTGCTCATAATTATGGAGAGTTCCATAAAGAGCAGTAAGAGGCATATTTTCAAGATCTTTACTTGTCTTGATACAAGTGCAGATGTTTTCCCAGAAGTCAGGTAAACAGTCCATGAACTTGCATAGGACTTCTTCGTTTTCATAGACTCTGCCATGAAACTTCAGATCATTGAGAAGGTTGTTAAACCTGTTGTAGTACTCAGTGAGAGATTCACCTTTCCCATGCACAAAGAGCTCATATTGCCTAACGAGGCCAAACTTCTTGCTTTTCTTTACTTTGATGGTTCCTTCATACAGAACACATAGAGTGTTCCACATGTCCTTGGCAGTAGAGAGGTTTACCAGGGAATGGAAGACATCATCAGGAAGAGAGAKGGCAATGATAGCCCTTACCTTGGTATCCAATGAAACTTTTCTTTTATCATCTTCATTGTATTAAGAAGGATCTTTGATGATGAACCTTCCAGTAGAATCAGATTTCTCTTCATCATCATCAAAATTATTTGAAGAGTTACCTTCTTCTTTGTTCTTTCCATGACGAAGCCATACTTTAGGAACAACGGGTCCATCCTTGAGGATAGAGAGATATTGTCTATCAACACCCTCAAGGTAGAGTGTCATGCGACTTTTCCACATAGAAAAATTGTTCTTGTTAAACTTGGGAGGCTTGGCAATAGTACCATTGTCTTGGTAAGAAGAAGGAGCAGAGTTGGAAGAAGAAGAGATCATTGCAGATCTAGCTTATGATATTAAGCTAACTACTCTGATACCACTTGTTAGTCCCGAAGGGGATGGCAATAAACATAAAGTAATTGTAGAAGGGGGGGTTGAATACAATTACACAGACTTTTTTCAACTTTTCTAATTCTTATTGATTTATATCAAGAATTAATACACACAGAAATACAAAAGATTGTTGCGGAAGATAGGAAAAGAATACCTAACCTAAACAATCTTACAAGGAGAAGAACTTTCAAAAATAACACAAAGTGTTCTTGAAAGAAAATGAAGAACACTAAGAATTTCTTCGCACACAGGAGAGCAAGGGAGAAGAAGAGAATAGCCGATTGCCTTAAGAATTCACTAAGTAATCTTTCAAAAGCCAGTTGTGTGCATGGGAGATGCACACTGCCTTTTTATACTACCTTCAGCATTTAATGCATGGGGACACTTGTCACCTGAGGATAAGAAGGCAGGGGTTGACTTGAACATTGTTGATATCTCATTTTCATCGTACACAATGTGCATACAATACTGTTCATGCAGAGACAAGCTTTTGCAGAGATACGGTCAGTCTGTAGGAAGATCTCCTTTGGATGGATATGTAGCTTCAAGCAGCTACTCACAAATCTTCGGTCCATGAAGATTTTCAATCTTCGGTCCATGATCTTCAATCTTGAGTYCATRAASATTTTYAATMTTCGGTCCATGATCTTCAATCTTGAGTCCATTAAGATTTTCAATCTTCGGTCCCTGATCTTCAATCTTGAGTCCATGAAGATTTTCAATCTTCGGTCTATGAAGATCTTCCTTCAATCGGCTTGTAGCATCAAAATATTTTCAATATTCATTTCAGCTACTTTGGAGTCTTGGTGTATATATTAGACAGTTGGTCCACAACACCGCATCGATGACCTTCTGTCTTCACATCGACTAGTCTTCGATTTTGCCAATGGCTTAAGTATGTACCAAGACAACAATATACAAAAAACCAATAACTACTAAGTGTTGCTAAGGTAGAGGAACAGATCAGTGGGTCATCACCAAATCAATAGGTGACCCAACAATATATATATATATATATAGGAGTGATCATATGAAAACCACCCTCATTTGTGTAAACCGTGCAAACCACCTTCATTTGTCGATTTCATTGTTTAATCTTATGAAATTGTTTCATATAATACTTTTTTGATGAAGTTGTTTCATATATGGTTGTGAAATTGTTTCATATAATACTTAATGAAACTGTTTCATGTATTTCTCTAACATTAATGAAACTGTTTCATGTATTTCTCTAAAATTAAAATAATGAAGATGATAATATCTATGATTAACACYCTCTACAATAAAAATGATTAATCAACCTCTCATAATTACAAAAAAATGAACAAAATGAAAAATTATGATTGGTTGAATGCGGTTTGCACGTTTTGTACAAATTGAGTGGTTTGCATTTGATCGCTCCCCTATATATATATATATATATATATATATATATATATTAAAAGAAGAACCATGAGTGTTTGAGGTGTTATCATGAGAATTGGGTATTGAGGTGTTGGTGAATTGTTGTTGAGTTTGAGATATCCCACATTGGTGAAGAGTTGAAAGATTTGAGCAAAATGAAGTGTATAAGAAAGATGGATTGGATGCATTTGTGTCAAATAATTGGGTTTTCCTCATAGGGTTGTCTTTCTTTGGATGACCCTCTTTGAAATCTATAACCATGGTTGAAAACCAAACAAATCAAATGTAATATTCTGGTACTTATTTTAAAAGTTTATATATATATATATATGTAATATATATATATATATATGATTGGATATGTGTGTATGTGGGTAAAATATTTTTATTATTAAAAGAGAAGGTCGGCTATTTAGCCGCCTATCACCTTCCCATGTGGGTGGGTTGATATAAAGAGTATTGTGAAGAAAAAGGAACACACATTCATACTATAATTGGAAAGCTTTACACTCTTAGAATTTAAAGAACTGCACAGGAAGAAGAAGAAGATTTCAAAAGCTTTGTTATTTGACTTCTAAAAGGTGAGTGTATTAAGAGCTTTGGATATGAACTGCTTACATACAGTTTGATAAGCATTTAGAACTGGTTATTATGAATTYTATAGCATTTTGTATGGATTCTTGTCTAAACCGTTCAAGGGTTATCCGGATTGATATCCGGATAAGAAAACCGCTCATGCCTTGACCGGATATCATCTAAACTGATCAAGTGATGACCGGATATCATCTAAACCGGTCAAGTGATGACCGGATATCGTCTAAACCGTTCAAGTGGTGATCGGTATACTCTAAACAGGTCAAAGGTTGTGTGATGTATTGTCCGGTATACTCTAAACCGGTCAAAGGTTGTGCGGTGTATCGTCCGGTTTATTTTAAACCGGATAACGTTATAAGTGATCTATTGTTCGGATTTGTAATCCGGACAAAGATGTTAATTTATTTTCAAAGTCTTTCGACCGGACTTGTAATCCGGACAGTATTGACTGGACTCTAAGTCCGGATAAAGATTTAATTTTGAAATGTTTTTGAGATGAAATGGCGGTGTAACCGCGAGAGAGATGAAATGACGGTGTAACCGCGAGAGAGATGGCAGTGTAACCGCGAGAGAGATGTAATGGCGGTGTAACCGTGAGAGAGATAAAATAGCGGTGTAACCGTGAGAGAGATGTAATGGCGGTGTAACCGCGACAGAGATGTAATGGCGGTGTAACCGCGAGAAACATAAAATATGCTTATGTTTATGTTTCAGAACAGGTTTGATTCTAAACTGATTGTTTGGAATGTATAATGTTTGTATGAGATGTATACACTCACTAGACCTTTTTGGTCTAACGCTCAGTTGTTGAACTAACCAGTTTTGCAGGTCAGCGTAATTTGCAAGATAAAGGCAAGGGAAAAGTTTAAACGTTGATAATAGTTTATTCATGTATTAAAGATACATTTTTGTTAGTCCATGTTTTGTAATAATATTGTTTTCAGTATTTATGAGTATGATGATGTGAATTATGTGTATATGAAATATGTGGGTTGTTACATCAAATGGTAGAAATTATAGTGCAAATTAATTATATTATATTATTATATATTTATATACATAAAAGTAAAACCTTGGGGTAATGAGGTGGCACCATGACAATTATAAAAATAAAACCTTGTGTGATGAGGTGGCACAATAAGAATTGAGTATTCTCAAATGATAAATTGTGGTTGAGTTTAGTCGTGCCACATTGATGGAGAGTTGAAGATTTGAATAAAGTAAAGTGTATAAAAAGATGGATTGTTGCTTTTCTGTTGATTCATGGGGTTTGCCTCATAGGATTGTCTTTCGTTAGATGACCTTCTTTGAAAACTCTATCTTTATCTTCTTTATATATATAAAAGAAAACCTTAGGATATTGAGGTGGCACTAGAAGAATTGAGTACTCTTATATGGTGAATTGTGGTTGAGTTTTAGTTGTCCCACATTGATGGAGAGTTGAAAGATTTGAACAAATTGAAATGTATAAGAAAGGTGGATTAGATATCTTTGTGTCAAATCATGGGGTTTGTCTCATAAGGTTGTCTTATTTTGGATGACCATCTTTGAAATCTATACCATGGTTGGAATCAAAACCAACTAAATGGTAAAAATTATAGTGCAAATATAAAAGTGAAACTAAGGATGATGACTTGGTAACATGAAGTTTGAGTGTTCCTCAAATCTAAAATAAGGTTGACTTTCATCATC